AATTCGGTTTGACTACGATGCCTTTTTCATTAAATTTAGAGTGAATACTTGTTAACAAGGGTGTCTAAAATCTGAACGCACAATAATAGCCCGTAGGGTAGCGCTAACGCGCAATAAACGAAAGATGGGTTGTTGCGTTTTAACAAGGGTGTCTAAAATCTGAACGCACAACAATAGCGCGCAGAGTAGCGCTAACGCGCAATAAACGAAAGATGGGTTGTTGCGTTTTAACAAGGGTTTCTAAAATCTAAACGCACAATAATAGCTCGTAGGGTAGCGCTAACGCGCAATAAACGAAAGATGGGTTGTTGCGTTTTAACAAGGGTGTCTAAAATCTGAAAGCACATAAATAGCGCGTAGGGTAGCGCTAATGCGCAATAAACGAAAGATGGGTTGTTGCGTTTTAACAAGGATGTTTAAAATCTAAACGCACAATAATAGCGCGCAGGGTAGAGCTAGCGCAATAAGCGAAAGATGGGTTGTTGCGTTTTAAACTAGGGTGTCTAAAATCTGAACGAACAATAATAGCGCGCAGGGTAGCGCTAACGCCAATAAAGAAAAGATGGGTTATTGCGTTTTAACAAGGGTGTCTAAAATCTGAACGCACAATATTAGCCCGTGGGGTAGAGCTAACGCGCAATACACGAAAGATGGGTTGTTGCGTTTTAACAAGGATGTCTAAAATCTGAACGCACAATAATAACGCGCAGGGTAGCGCTAACGCGCAATAAACGAAAGACGGGTTGTTGCGTTGGTGTCTAAAATCTGAACGCACAATAATAGCGCGCAGGGTAGCGCTAACGCGCAATAAACGAAAGACGGGTTGCTGCGTTTTAACAAGGGTGTCTAAAATCTGAACGCACAATAATAGCACGCAGGGTAGCGCTAACGCGCAATAAACGAAAGACAGGTTGTTGCGTTTTTAACAAGGATGTCTAAAATCTGAACGCACAGCAATAGCGCACAGGGTAGCGCTAACGCGCAATAAATGAAAGATGGTTTGTTGCGTTTTAACAAGGATGTCTAAAATCTGAACGCACAATAATAGTGCGCAGGGTAGCGCTAATGCGCAATACACGAAAGATGGGTTGTTGCGTTTTAACAAGAGTGTCTAAAATCTGAACGTACAATAATAGCGAGCAGGGTAGCGCTAACGCGCAATAAACGAAAGAGGGGTTACTGCGTTTTACCAAGGGTGTCTAAAATCTGAATGCACTATAATAGGGTTAGGGTTAGGGTTACAGCCCGAAATCGACATTGCGACACGTTTTCCCATAAGGATTGCTGGGATGGGTTCTAACCCAAATCGACAGTGCGACGTCGCACTGTCGATGCTAATGATAAGTAGATTAGAGCAATGTCGATATAACCCGCGCAATGTCGATTTTGGTTAGAATCTGTTTTTGGGTCGATGTCATACTGTAGATTTTGGGGTTAGGATCACTTTTCGGAAGTTTCGTCATTGCGACTCCAAATTGTTGGAAACACCCAACATTGCGACCTAATTCCTTACCCCCTTGCCACATTTATCCAATGGGAGCAATGTCGAAATTTCAGGGCCCGGTCCGGCCCGAAAAATCGACACTGTGACAAAATTGTCGCAATGTCGAAAATTACGAAGTCTCAAGTTACGCTATTCGCCATTTTGTTTTAGTTGTGGCGCAGGATATACTAAGCAATTTTGGCTGTTTCTTTTATTATTTTTTTATGGGTTTTAATGTACAAGTTGAAACAGCACCATTAAATAGTCACATTAAGTATGTGGTTATAACTTGCAATAATACAACCGCCATCGACATTGCGACACGTTTTCCCATAACAATTGCTGGGGGTAAATTCTGGCCAAATCGACATTGCGGCAGACAGTGTGACCGACCCTGTTAAAAGTAGTAAATTCGTGTTGTCCTTATAACTTTTGAAATACTGAACTAATTTTAAAAATTTCAACAGATTTCGATTTGAATTCGGATAACACTCCTGAAATTCGAAGAAAAAATTCTAAAACTCGAATTGTCAAATTGTCTATTTTTCTATCGAAGCGTGTTGTTGACCTTAAAATTAACAGTGCGACTTTCGCCCTTAAACTTGAATTGAACATGTTAAAAGAAATCACTCAACTTGATAATTCAAAATGCATTCGGTTTGTAATAAAATTACGACTCTGGCAATATTTTTATTAACTAAATTCACGAAAGTTCCATATTTCTTGAATTAGTATCAATTTTCGTATTTTATGATGACTCTACAATTCTACATACTAATTTAAACACTTTGAAAAGTGAACAATTATGGCAGAGGGAAAATAACCTTTTTCAACATTAAATATTTCTTTTTATTAATGCCATGGAAGCTTTGTTTTGCCTATTCTAAACTTCGTATTTTTCATCGCAATAATTTTGGAGCAATTTGCCAACAAAAACGTGTAGTAAAAAATAAATAAAATTGAATGTTGTTCAAAGTTTAAAGTCTGAAATAAAATAGTTTATTTTCATTTAAAGTAAGAGAAGACTATTCGCATAGTACTAGCTGAAATATGGATGGAGCGTAAAAAATCGCGACTAATTTTCAAACATTCGAAGAATAATATCTCATTTACTATACATCGTAAAATGAAAAAAATTGATTGGGTAACCCATCAGTATGATATTTATCCACTATTGAAGCAACTTTTACCTAACCTTTGAACTTTGACCCCAAAATGCAAAAAATAAACTACATGTAATAGAACATTTATTTTTAGTTTTGTGAGAAGGTATTAATGTAACTAATCCAAAACACTTCTTACTTTAAAAATTCATCGAATATTCGAAAAGTTATCAAGATTCGAATTTTTGAACGAATAAATTTGTTTTGCTAATAACTTTCGAACTACTGAACCAATTTCAAAAACTCAACTATATCTGAGGTGGTATTAGCGAGACTTTTCTTTTGATACGAGTTGCGCCAAGTTTAACGTCCTAAATCAAAAGTTTTATTTTGGCATATCCTCTCCAAAGCGAGGTAACATAATTTACTTCGCATAAGGGAATATATTTGTATTTCGGAAAAGGGATATTTTTTCCTTTACCCCAATCTTAAAAATTTTGATATCTACGAAAGGAGGGGCTTTTTACAAACCCATAGACCGCAATTTGATCACTCATGGAGTCATTTTTCAAAAGTTATAGCCTTTTTAGAACAGAGTTTATTGCGATAGCGTTAGGGTTTGAGGTTTTCTACTAATAACTTTTTTTAAGGAAATGCAAAAACAGCAATATTTGGATCATATATTGGCATCAAAATTTTGCATTCATTGGCATATTACACATGTCGATATCTCAAGTTGTTCAAAAGTTATACGCAAAAATGTGAAATTTTTAGACAAGAAAAATCGACATTGCTACCGAAAAAAGGAGCTGAAAAATCGACATTGCGACAAACTATCTAATTTGCATAAAAACCCTAATCCTTTTTTGTCGCACTGTCGAAAATTCAACAATTAAAAATCGACATTGCAACATTCTTGGACGGAAATTTCGACATTGCTACAAAATTGTCGCAATGTCGATATTTCCGAAGTCGCAATGTCGAAATTTCAATCAGGAAAGTTAGAATTTTCGACAATGCGACCTATTTGGTTTGAAAAATCGACATTGCGACCAAATTGTCGCAATGTCGATAATTCCGAAGTCGCAATGTCGAAATTTCAATCAGGAAAGTTAGAATTCTCGACAATGCGACCTATTTGGTTTGAAAAATCGCTAAGCCTAAAATTGTCGCAATGTCGAAAAAAAAAATATAGTCTCTAACTCCTTGTCGAAAAACATCGACACTGGGTTT